CTCTCTCTCTCTCTCTCTCTCTCTCTCTCTCTCTCTCTCTCTCTCTCGTTCTTACTCTCTCACTCCTCACTCTCTCTCTGTCTCTCACTCTTGTTCTTGGTCTCTCTTGCTCTCAGCTTGTCTTTAGATTGGGACAGGGTTGTTGCCAAGTTGATAAGTGTATTGGCCTTCCACGCACAAAGCCACGGCTGGATCCTTAGCACATGTAAACATCTGTAATCCCAGCACTCTGGAGGTGGGAGCAGGAATGCCAGACGTCCATAGTCATCTTCAGCTAGCCTAGGATGCAAGAGACCTTGTCTTGGGGTAGAGGACGGGATACACAGAAAAGGGAAGAAAGAAAGGAGAAGAAAAAAAGCCAGATGAATTCTCTAAAATGAGTCATGGTGTAGGAGGTCCTTCTGTTTATGTATTGCTTTCATTGGTTAATGAATAAAGAAACTGCCTTGGCCTTTTGATAGTAAAAAAACTTAGGTAGGCAGGGGTGGGGGATATAACTGAATGCTGGGAGGAAGAAAGCAGAGACAGAGAGAATCACCATGGAGCTGCCAGAGTCAGACATGCTGAATTTTTCCTGGTAAGCCACTGCCATGTGGTGACTTACAGATTAATAGAAATGGGTTAAATCAAGATGTGAAAGTTAGCTAATAAGAGGCTAGAGCAAATGGGCCAAGCAGTGTTTTAATTAGTACAATTTCTGTGTGGCTATTTTGGGGCTAAACTAGCAGGGCATCTGGGACGAACAAGCTGGCCCTTCCTGTGACAGAGTCAAAATAAAATAGGCCTTGTTGTTTCTAGCAGAGTTTATTTTGAGTTTCCCTTGAAAGTTATTCTGCAATTTTCTCAGCTCATTGAGGGTGGATCTACAAAGTACATAAAAGGTGTCAGGACCTGAAGCGTTACCACAAAATGTCTCGGATCCCAGAGATGGTCTTGATGCTTCCCACACTGTGGGGAGAATTAAGAGCCTGTGGCCTGAACATCTCTGTCCTACAACAGACTACAAGGCAACACTTGGTCTACGCTGGGTCGTGGTCTTCAATGCAGCTCGTCCTGGGTACAGCCAGATAAGATTTTGCATCTGGTTAAAATTATCCTTTAGTGACTAGACCTTCTGTTAGTCCTGCATTACCGTAACACGTACCTCAATCACACAGAGAAAGGGTCCCTCTTGGCTAACGGTTTCAGAGACTCCAGTCTGTTGCTGATGGACCTTATCACTTTGGTCCTGTATTGAGGTAGAACACACGGTGGAACAACCCACTCATTTCTTGGCCAGGAAGCACAGGAGAACACGGGAAAGGGCTTGGGGTTCCCACTCTCCCCTTCTATGCCAGACCTCCCAATAACCTAAAGACCTCCCGCTAGGCCTTTCCCCTTGCGGGTTCCACCACCTCCCACTAGTGTCAAGATGGAGACCAAGCCTTTAACAGACGGGCCTTTGTGTGATGCTCAAGATGCAAGCTGTAGCTCACCCCAAGCTGGGGCCACTGACCGGAGTGTTTACTTATCAAACGAGAAAGACCAGGAAGCCTTCGTTCTGCCCTACGTTGAGTTTGGAAGTCAGACGTTTCACCAGTTGCCCTGACTTAGATGGACCCAAGGCACTCGTTTACCCTCTGCCCATGTGCCCACAGCTGCAACAGATACCTACAGGGCACAGGCGCTGGGCTGAGGCCATGGTGCCAACATTGACCTCCTACTCTCGACCCACAAACAACCCAACAAACCTGTTCATGGACACTCATCTTAGAATACTAAGCTACGTAGTATCTGTCCCTGAGAATAGTCCCTGAGACCAGCAGTTCTTTGCCTAACTGTACATTGAATCACTGGGAAGGCTTCAGCAGCTACACATGTGGCCTGCGGATGTGGTTCAGTTGTAGAGTTCTCGGCTAATGTACCTAATTAGGCCCTGGGTTTGATTCCCACCATGGCAGAAAACTGACCATGGTAGGATACACCTATAATCCCAGTGTTTGGGGAGGTGAAGGTAGGAGGATTAGAAATCTAAGGTCACCCTTGGCTACATGAGGTGTTTAAGGCCAGCCTAGACTAAAAGCGACTATCTCAAACTAGCCCCCCTACTCCGAGCCCAGAGATCCCGAGTCAGTTAGCACAGGGTACAACCTGTGTACTTCAGTGTTTTCCAGAGCTTCCCAGATAATTCCAAAGTCCAGTCAGGGTCAAAAATTATTAACCTTGAACAAAAGAGTTTGGCTTTACCATCTTGGTTTCTGTAGACCAAACAGTAATCCTTGTACCCCAAACATCTCTGGGCTTCAGGAACAGAGCGCTGCAGAGGTGTCTTCTCCTTCTCTTAAAGAGAGTTGCAGAGCCAAGGTCTAAGGAGAACACCCCAGTGGGCGGCATTAGGCCGCCTCAAAGATCCTCGCCATTCTCCTCATCCCTGCTCTGGCCCCAGAGAGGAAGGAACTGACTGAAACAGAGCACGTGACCTCCTAGCAAAGAGCAAACACCCCGGGTAGTCATCTGGTGCCCTTGAAGTGTGCCTTTCCCGGGACAAATGACCAGGGCAGCTAAACATTAAAAGCAAATAAATTACTAATAAAGAACTTAAAAGAAATAGCAAGCATTAAATGAGATTTGGCTTTCATTGCTTCCTGTACCCATCCTGGGAGTGGTTTTAGGAAAATGATCCCCAGGCAGGCACAGGGTGGCCAGGGCAGACCCCAGCGGCCCCCCGGAGGAGCATGGCTAGCCTCTGTGGCCTGGCTGTTATTGCAGCTGGTTGGCGCCCAGCCACTGTCGTTCTGGCGTGGGAGTGCTGGGCCGGCCCCTTTGCTGGCCTGTTTCTTGTGCACACGTAGCCCTTATATAAATAAGGTTTTATTAAATGCCAAGTCAGTTCTCATTAACAAAGAAAGAGGAAAAATTTCAGTAAACCACTGTGACGGCACCTGCCCCTGCTGGGTACAGAGCAAGGGTGGGGGGAGGGCGGGAACAACCTCCAGACCTGGGAATCTGCGGAGCCGAGGGAACCTAGTGGGAGTTAGCAACCAACTGGGACCAGCTGTGTTTTTCCTCTGTCCTTTGGAGGTCAGAACTCAATGTTGTCATCTTCAAATAATCCGAATGCAGTTCTCCGGGCGTTGCTCCACCCGACCCTCTCGCAGATCCCAGACTCTCTCTCTCTCTCTCTCTCTCTCTCTCTCTCTCTCTCTCTCTCTCTCTCTCTCTCTCTCTCACACACACACACACACACACACACACACACACACACACACACAGTTTGCACGCTTTCTTTTTCATGAACCCATGCACCGCACACATGGCTGGTGACCTAGGTGGGTGGGGAAGCACACCACAAATCAAGGGGCTGGATTTTCTCCAAGGTGTAGCCTCTCTTGGTTTCACCCCCAACTCCGTAGCCTGAAGACTTTCTTTATCTTCACCTGGGGCTTTTTCAGGCTAACAGCTGGCAACGTGAAACCCAAAAGCTCAGCGCTGGGCCCAGGGCATCGTTACCGCCAGCATACCTGAAATGTTCGCACCTCATTAAAAAAAAAAAATAAAACTCCCGCGTCACTTTAGTACTTCAGTCAGTTTCGGGTGAGGGGTTGGGCCCTTTCCCATCTGATCGGGCCCAGGTTGCGCATGCCCCTTCCGTCTCTCCTGCATCCATCCCGTTTTCTGGCCCCCACCCCCCAGCCTTCCTGTTTTCTCTCCCGCTCTGATGCGCTGTTTTGAAATCTTGCTGAGAAGCAAGTCTGTCCCGGCAGCTTTGAATGTTTATTTGTGGAACTTGAGGTGGGCACTAAGACCTGCCATTCGGCCGGCCAGCCGGGAAATCTGAGTTTCCTCCCTTCCCCCTTCTCCATGGCTGTGTGCGGAGGAGGAAAGCTAGCTTTGGGGTTCACAGTTTCCCTTCTGTAAATGTTCCTGCTGTTGTACAATTTGGCTTTTTCTCCCCTCCCCCTCGACCTCTATGCTACTGTGACTTTTGCTTTTCTGACTCCATTGTCCTCGTGTCCCTGTGACTGTGGCCTGGCTGAACACTGAGTTCCTGAGAAGAAAAGACCCAGTCTTGGGGGTCCTGACTACATACATGCTCCTGTCCGTGTCCGCTTCACTCTTGGCTCTGCTCTCTGAATTCCTGAGTCACTGGGAATAAACAGGGGTGAACTGCCTATCGCTGGCCATGCCTTCTGCTCCCTGGGATCGCTGGCTGCAGCTTGTTAAATTTCAACTATGTGTTCCAATTTTCAAGTGCCTTTTTGCTACCTCATCTCCTGGGTTTTACAGTAATGTCTCATTAGTGAGTTTACCTCCATTATCCCCTCCACACACACACTGCTGTTTTCCTATAACTTTCTCCTACTTTAGGAAGAAAGAAATCGAAGCACAGTGCAAGCAACTCTGTGTGTGTGTGTGTGTGTGTGTGTGTGAGAGAGAGAGAGAGAGAGAGAGAGAGAGAGAGAAAGAGAGAGAGAGAGAGAGAGAGAGATGAGAGAGAGAGAGAGAGAGAGAGAGAGAGAGAGAGTGTGTGTGTGTGGGTGGCAGGCAGAAACAAAACTCATCCAGAAATGGGTTTTAAAAACCATGAAGTCACACTAGGTGTATCTGGTTTACAGCGATTGTCTACATCTACCAAATCAGTGGTTATTGGGGAGTCCCCTCGGCAAACAGATTTCTATAGAGAAGGAAACAGAGCAGAAGCTTTTTTGCTTTTAGGCTGATTGTCTCAGCATTTGTCTGTCTGGATTTCTTCTAGGCTCCAGATGTATACAGTAGGCTAGAACTTGTTTTCTTGACAGACCAGATGCAACTTTATCAATTGAGGAAGAAAGAATTCGTGACTGGTCAAAGATAAAGTGACTTGGGACAGAAGCCAGCCCCTGGGAAGGGTGCTAGTTCAGATGACGGGCCTGGCGTCCCTGCCTGTGTTCAGTCAGTATAGGCCACATATTTACAGTATGTGTTACCCACATGTTAGATAACAGGTTTTCTCCAGCGTAGATTGACTCTCAGAAGGATTTTGGCTCCTGATACTTCAGCTCTCTGCACAACAGAGACTCTGAACTGTTTTTGTGGATTAGGATCATGTTTGAGAATCTGACACCAGCTCTAAGCCTTTCCCTAGGGAATGTAAGTTCCCACAGATGTGAAGGTGTGGGGACTCATGGAGCCACTGAAGCCAGACCCCAGGTTAAAAGCTCTTGCGATGAAGTGTCTTTCTACCTACCACTAATACAAAAATACCCCAGCGGGTCTCATGTGCGAAACAAAGACGATGTTGCTCTCAAGAGTTAAAAGCGCGCTAAAATTTGAAATGGGAGCATGGGTGACAGAGGTCTGTTTTTCCCAGAAGCACTTACATGAATGCACATGCACACCGAATCTATTACACACGGGCCAAGATCCCTCAGGACAGTGACAGGACCACACGACCCACATGTGTCACGGCTCAGACTGGGCAGACACCGAGGGGAGTGGCAATGTCTGCATTTGGGCACAGGAGGGACTTACAGGTAAAGCCCCACTGCACGAGGCAGAAAACTTACTTCCACGTTACAAAATTAGAACGCCGACAGAATTCAGTCATAAGGTAGACCCTATGTCACAATAACCCAGAGCTCAGGGGTGACAGATAGATAATCGCAACAGATGTGACCCTCTCATCTGGGATCCAGGAGAGTTTTTAGCTGTGTCATGAGCATCTCAGCACCAAGGCAGCCTCACTCCGGCTGACTCCCAGAACCCCGACCTGCAGTCTGGCCTCAGCACCAGCCATGTGTTTCTCTCTCCTGGGTAGAAGCATGGTTGCAGAAAGCTATGCTGGTCGCTGGCATTGACCTTGGTTCTTTTCATAACACCTTAGCATTGGCTCTTGACTATGGCCACCTGCTGGCACACACAAGCATCCTCTAGTGGCCCGGAGACTAATTTCTGGCTATGGGTTGGCACCCAGCTTGCTGATGTTTATAGAGAACCCTTTCTTCCTCATTCATGGAGATTGGATGAAATTCATATTGGAGAAAAGATAGGAAATACACTCTGAAACCAAAGACATTTTGCTTATACCACAGTGAAGTCATGGGCTGCGGAGCTAGGTCAGTCAGTGATGTGTTTTAGCCCACAAATATGAGGGCTTGTGTTCTATAACTAGAACCTGTGTAAAAAAGCCGTATATAAAGGTGCGTGCTAATAAATCCCTGAACTAGGGAGACAGAGAAAAGTGTATTCCTAGGGCTCCCTGGTCAGACAGCCTAGCATACTTAGCAAGCTCCAAACCGGTTCAAGACCCTGTCTCAGATTTTAAAATTAATTAATTAATTAACGAAAGGGCGAGGGGTGCCTGAGGAATGACCCCTGAGGTTGTCCTCTGGCCTGTACATACATGCATGCGTGCGCTCTCTCTCTCTCTCTCTCTCTCTCTCTCTCTCTCTCACACACACACACACACACACACACACACACACACAGAATGTCAGGGTGGCGGAAGAGAATACAGTCTGTTCCGCAGTGGTCCCTCGGCTCCTTCCTCAGACCCCAAAGACCAAAGGAAGCTCTGTCTCACAAAGTGACCTTTCACCGCCCCCTGGGTTCCAAGCTCAGCTTTGCTTTCATCAGAAACAGACACCAGGACTAAGTCAGAAGTCGTCAGGAGGGGACGAGGCCTAGTTTCTACTGCGCAACAAGGAAGTTCCCTAACTCGTCTGGGGTTCGCATACCCCAGAGCCCACCCTCTGCCTCAGACCTTTAGACACCACTCCTCCCGGCACGTCTGGATGACCTCTCCCAGTAGAGACAGTTTGGCATGTCCCCCACCCTCCTGTGACTGAGTCCGAATTCTCCACTCATGACGCATTTCCTAGCACGCAGGGCGCCTCTCCTGGTTGCCCCCTCAGCACCAAAGCAGCTTCCTCTCTTTTTATCCCATGCTTAACAACTGTCAGGGCTGCAACAAACATGCTTTAAATCCACCGTCTTCCAGTTGCCCAGCAACAACTTCCCTCCCGGATAAATCTGGGCTTCCTGTAGCAGTTGCTGGGAAGGGAACCCAACAGCCTGGGGCTCTCTGTCCATGACTTAACTTGCCCTTAACTTCTAGCCTAGATGCTTTCAAGACAGGCTGCCCACCCCTGACTTCAGAATCATTCCGTGGCTCCCAGAAACCATGTTATCCCCATAAAGGCATTTTTATTCTGATGCTACCTAATCACTCATGTACTGAGTATATCCTCAACTTAGAAATGAATATTGTTTCCAGATTGGCTCCTTTGGGTTAGGAAAAACCCATCAACCATCGGGGCCACTCCCTCTTCTGTGCTGATGGAGTTACTGGTACTGAGTCAGTAACTATCATCAGGATGTTTAGGGAGCTGCTAATGCTTTTATTTTACACTGGTACACAGATTGCATATCCTAAGGGAAAGGAATGTATTTTGTCCTCCTAG